TCTATGGAGTTATGCCCAGCTCAAGGTAGTGTGACTCCTCCATTGATTTTATGGAAATACACAATTACTTTTACATATATGTCTATCTCTGGACTCTGGATTTACGTTGACATCTTAATTTTGCCTTTTCTGCTTCCTATGTGTTATAAAATTCTAGGTATGCGAGGATTGCATAGGAGAAAGAGAGAGCTGTGAGTTGTTGCAGAAGCTTAGTTACTGCAATGAGGACATATATGTCTGTCTTGTAAGGGGAAAGGAAGCTCCAAGATCAATTCTAGAAGCCTCTGAGTCCACTTTTTGAGCCAGATCGTCGACTGTCTAAGCGTTCTCGAAAGACAAACTATGGGAATTTAGTAAATCTGAAGGTTTTCTGGCTTCCACTTCAATATACCAGTTAAAGATGATGATATGGGGAATCCCTTGGGGTAGGCGATATTTAGCAATACTTATATATGGATCTTGATCATGTCTTATACTTGATGTATCCTTATTTTCTTCTTCCATTTGATGATTTATAGGGAGCTTTATTCAAGTTTTAGAATTTCAGGGTTTTGGAATTTGTCAAACTTTTGAAATCAACGTTAGGTGCAGGTGTAGTTTTGGAATAGAAGTAGAAGAGAAAATTTTAGGTGAAACTTGTATTCTATGTAGTAAGCTTCTATGGTTGGGACTAAGGTCAATTGCGTTTCTCATATGAGGAAGCATTCTTGCAATGACTTGTACAAGGAAGCTGACACTAAGCAAATTTTGTGGGAAATGTGAACCTAGACTAATGCTATATTGTCTTGGAGATCTGAAAAGTGTGTTTCCTTTCCAAACAGGCAAACATATCTGTGCCTGCATGCATATATAAATATATGCTGAATGTAATCATAGTTATTCATGGTTTTAGACCATGTTTAGATGCATAACATTTATTTACATATTAGATTCATTTATTTACTTGTATGATGACATTGCATGAAAATTGACATAAAAAACTTTATATATAGTGGACAACTATTTAATATTTTTATTATTTCTGTTACAAACCTTTAGAATATCTTTTTATGTAGGCTTTTGTTTCCCTCTCTTTTCCTTGTTTTTTGGGTTTTATGTTCTTCTGTTTTCTTTTTTTTAGGAGATCGTCTCTTCCTCCCTTGTTGTAGTTCTACTCTCTTTTCTCATTAATATTTTCTTTTATAAAAAGAAAAAGATGTCTTTTCTGTTTATGCATTTGCATTTTTAATAGTTTTCCTGTTGTTTAAGATAAGTGTTTTGCCCACAGGCTACTCATGAAAGATTAACATGTGCAGGTTGTTAAGGAAAACCAGATCCTTCATAAAGGCACCAAGATAATTGATGAGGAATCTGCCACTCTTGCAGACATGAATATATTCCCCGGGGATAAGCTTTGGGTGAAAGATTCTGAGATTCATGAGCATCGAGATATTGCTGGTAATTTGCGTTATTTCCCTAAACATGAACTGTTCGGATAATGAATTATTTTAAGTTCTAAACTCAGTTATTTACATGTAACTTCTCATGTCAATGTCTTCAACAGATGAGCTCTGTGACCAGAAAATGGATGTTCAGACCACTGAAGAAGGATTTCGTGGGACATTGTTGACAGCAGATATCTCGTCCCAAGCTGTTTAAGTTGCTCTTTGTATTATCAGCATGTAATATTCTTTGTAAATATTGGTGCTGTAAGAAGGAAACTATGGAATGTTCGACCAGGAAGTTGGAGGTAAGATATCATTTTGTTATCCAACCTGCTTCTATTTTGTTTATTTTATTTATGAATAACTGTTAATTTCGGTAAGTAAAAATCATATTGTTTCTATCATAATCATCGTCATAATAGTTGAAGATTATCTGATTGATGAAATTCACAAAACCTAGTCCACTACTACAATTACAGCACCCTCTCTGTTAGTGGTTTGACCAGTTTCCTGTTCTTTTTCCTATGGCCATATGATGCAATCGTAGATTACGCCCTTGAATGTCTCTCAACACGGTTGTGTTGTTTGTCAAGTTCTACAATTTGGTTTTCTATGTTAGGTCATGATTGGGTAATTGGCCAGTTGTAAAACTTCGCTGGAGGAATTGGGCTCCTCATTTAAGCTTAAATGCTGAGAAAGGGAGTTTCTTTTCCTTGTGCGCTGCTGCCCCTATGATTTTGGTGTAAGTTTATTAAGCATTATGATATGGGAGTTTAACTTTCTGAGAACTGTATTAAACAGAGTCCTGGTGGATAGTGGATGCTAACTTCCAGCATTTCAATATGGCAGTACCCCATATGATCATCCTTGTGATAATTTGATGGACTTGTCACCAGTGGCAAGAGGATATACTCTGTGAAACTTTACTGCAGGAATATTAATGATGCAATGGACAGAGCACAGATTCTTTGTTAAGCTTAAATGCAAGGGAAAGGGGTTTTCCTTTCTTTTTAGATCCCTGTTGATGTTGTTAAAGCTATATCAATATTCCCAAGTTGATAAAGTTGCTATAAGAGTTGCTGTCCTCGTGAAGGCAATTATTGTTTTCCCAAGTGCTGTTTGCCTTTTAACTTTTTTCTGAGATTACTGAAAGAAGTTGTTGGAAAAATCTTTCTCCTTTACGTAGAAAATGACAGGGGAATAAGCTTTTCATACGGGAGAAACCCTTCATGTGAGGACAAATTGGACATGGTCTCAGGATTTGTCCTCATGAAAAGCATGACTTCCTTGTAAAACATAGGATGTTAATGTTAATTGCTTAGTGTTTTTTCTATATTCATTAGGAACCTGTTGCTCTTATGAGTTACAAGGTGGGACTTAAGCTGTTAATGACCTTCTCTGGGTATAAACAGTTGTGGACTCGTAAATTAGTTGATACTTAATATGGATCTTGATAGCATTGATATATATTGTAGAATGCTTTGCCAACTGCATTGCATGCGCAGTCTCTTTCAGGAAATGAAGCTGATTGGTACTGTCCCAATTAGGTTAGAACTTCAGATGTAGTACATGATTTAGCAATTTTGGTCCTCTTGCATTCCACCTTGTCCAGGATTTCTGTAGATAATTTGGTGCCACAACTAAATCTTTATCTGTGTACATGTATTGCTTCTGCTTTTTCTCTTAGTAAAAGTAATACATACGTGACTTTTTTCTTTTATGAGATGGTGCATTTATGGATACATAGAGCGCCCACCTTCCTGCCTCCTTGTCTCATGTTTGTTGTTTTTTTTGTAACCTTTTGCAGAGGAAGCTGCTTGCACAGGGTTTTTTTTAGGTCTCATCCATTTTGGAAGCCTGGGTTATTTTTTGTATATGATAAAGCTCCTGAAAAGTTGTCAATTTTGTACTTAGAGCTGGAGATATACTGCAGTATTCTGTCTCATGATCAGGCCATCAGGGAGCAAATGAGATATGTTGCAGGTCTCTAGTTTGAGGACTTTTCTATGAGTTTTGTCAAATTTCCTTCTGTCAAGTGCCTATATAGATAAATATTAACCTTATTTTGTTTCTGATCTTTATCATAACCATGTCTATCTGTAGCAACATCTAAATTCTGTTCATTGGATTAAGCGGGGAAAAATATAGAGCTCAGGATTCATTATCAGTGTTTTTTAGACAACTTAAAGGTCATTTGCTTTTTCTTTTCTCAAAAAGAAAAGATGAATGTCCTCTGATGATTCCTGATGTGGCTACATTAATATGCATAGATACTTACAAGTGGTAAAACAAAGATTTCCCTGCCCCTTACCCTACACACATTCCTTCCCCTGCAAAAATTTATATACATGCTTGTACATTTCACATGGAGCTACAGCTACTTAACCCTCCAAATGGGGCTCTTGATAGTCTCGCTTTTTCAACCCACCTCTCTTTCAGTTGGTGGCTGTAAGGAGTTGAATGGAGTGGTTGATTGACCAGTTGAAATTGCGGGAATGGATTGGGAACAATTAGGTATGCTTAATATTTCCCTTCAGTTTTAAATATCTTGATGGTACCATGAAACAATATATTATTTTCCAAATTAAATGTTGGGTTTTATGGGAAAAGAAATAATAAGATAAGTAGAAACTTCATATTGCATCTCATGTTTCTTTCTAATGCTGTGCATGTATAAAATAAAATTCCTGTAAAATAATATTTTAAAAAGGCTTGAAACTGAGATATGGAATGATATAATTGACCAACCACTCGGACCAAAACACAATAAAACAAAACCAACCAAAATTGTTTGGTACCGACCAAGAAAGCCAAGTCGCCAACTAAGCACGCTGTGTATGTGAGGAAAAAGGTTTGAATTGAAAAAGACTTGAGTGGGTCAAACTATTTAAAGCCATCGCTTGTGAGTCCGAGTGCGAGAGCTGTAGTCGTGGGCTCCCCGGAACCACCGATCCCAGCTTGCATCTACTGGACCTTTACTCCTGCAACATTAAAATACAATGTATCTATTTCCTTCTCATCATTTAGAAGTTAATTTTATAATATTCACATATTTGGATTTCAACTCGACGACCAAGTAAAAATATGTGGGCGTGTGTGTGTGTATATATACATGAATATATATGGTTTCATCATATAATTTTATATTGATATCTTGACAAAATAGAGTGTTGTTAGAATGTGGGTAGGCTCTCCTACCTTTTTTGTTTTTGTTTTTTCTTTTCTTGCTCAACATAAATAAAAAAAATTCAACATCACACATTGGTTTGAAATTTTCAATTTAAGAAATTTCTAATTTTTCATTTAATAATCCAATATTTTGTTATTTAAATATTAATTAAATTAGTTAATCAATTTATCGATGAATGTATTGTTAAGTTTTTTTTTTTTTTTTTTTTTACTTTTTTTATGATTATAAGACAGTAAATTGGATTAATATTTAAACTAGGACCCACTGAATTGTCAATAAAAAAACCTCAAATTAAAAAAAAACTCAAACCATAAAAGAATTAAACTGAAATTTAGTTAAAAAAATAATCATGAAATAATGGTAAAGGTTATGTTTTCATACTCTGGAAGCAGTGGGTCAGGAATGCACTCAACGCTTTCCACGAGCCTGAAAATGAAAAAAGAGAATCGATATTATATTTACGTTTTAACCCATTAATCATCTTACATATTGTGAATTAATCAATAAGAAAATTTTCTTCTTTACTCTTTGCAAACCAAGGAAGATTCACCCACTGTCTCAAGTTCTTCCAGCTCCTCCTGAATCACAGATTCTCTACGTAAGAATACTAACATATATATATATATATATGTACATGTCAAAAGAGATGGGAATAGGATCGACCTTGGCAATGTTAATTTGGTTGTGAAGATGGGCGACGGCAGCTGCCAACCGATGGTTCCCATAGAAAGCAAGAGGATCTGCTTTCTGGGGAAAAGGAGAAGAAGACCCTTGTTGGGTTGATCCATTGGCTTCTCGTCCTGCTGCTTCTTTGCGCTGTGTTGAGTTTGATTCCATAGTTGATGCAGATTGCCGGTATCCTACTCAAGCTATCACCTTTCTTTTGCTTTTATTTATACTATCTCAGAGAACATCAAAAAACAAGGCATAGAAGGTGAAAGAAGAAAGAAACATAGAATAATGTAGGACAGGTTTGCATACCCCATTATTTATAAAGAGTGGAGAGTGGACCAACCAAAGAATAATTAAATAATTATTTGGTAATAATAATCAAATCATAATCATAATAATAGAAAGTGGGTTTTTTCTAATAAACAAATGAGAGGAATGGTCAGAAATATACAGTGAGGTAGCATAGGGAACAAGGCATTTGGATTCATTGGATTTTGATTTAAAAACAAAAGAGGAAGAATAGGGTGGCTAATTGGCTAGCTATGGTTGGTGGGGAACCAGATAAGGAATGGATTCCCTTTCTCCTAATCCAATATCACAATGTTCCTGCATCACTCTTTTTTCTCTTGTTTTTGTTTATTCCGATTCCTGATTTGCAAGCAGAAATTCATGCTCATTTAATTTTTTATACTAATGAGTTAATCCATGACAAGGAAGTGTTTTGTTGCACAACCTGCTACATTCTATATCTGACAAATGAATCAGTATACATCAGCTGAAGTTCTACATTTCACAAATGAAGAACTGAACATGAGTTTAAAATAATAATATTATTTTCTGGGAGTGATCAGCCTTTAATTAACTGATCATGACTGATATTCTCTGATTTGTGTTATCCAGAAACTTAAAGTAGGCATATCTCCATGAACTCTTTACCAGTAAAGGGCCACAAAAGCCCCAAAATCCCACCACAAATCCCACAATCACGCTCACATAGAACCATAGCTTATCATGACTGTCTACTTCCTCTTTTTCTTCTTCAACACTGACTGTTGGCTTTGAAGAAGTACTAGTTCTGTCTCCTGGACACTTTGTGAGGAGAGGAACACCACAGAGCAGTGGATTAACCATGTAAATTGACGAGTCCTTTAGTGTTTGGAGCTGACTACCTGATGGAATCCTCCCTGTCAGATTGTTGTAAGATAAATTCAAGTGAGCTAAGGAAGTGAGAGAGGACAGAGACTGAGGAATTGGTCCTGAGAGATGGTTGTGTGACAAATCAAGAGTTTCCAACCATCTTATGTTTCCAATATGTTTCGGGATACTTCCACTCAAATCATTCCTTGATAAGTTCAAGATTCCCAGAAAATAAAGAGTTGAAATTTTATCTGGGATTTCTCCTGAAAGATGATTTCCTGAAAGGTCCATGCCATTGACAAACACAACGGTTCGGCTATACTCTAGCTCCCTTCCTTTTGTCCTCACTACCACATGTCCATCGTAGGAAATCCCAAATCGTCTTTGAACATCATGGAATATGTCATAGCTGCCGTTAGCCAAGGCCTGCAACTCATTTATACAACTGGGAATATTACCTGATATGTTATTGTGGGAAAGATCAAGAAAATGAATATAAGCAAGACTGCACAATTCCGGAGGAATATTCCCAGTGAGGAAGTTCGATCCAAGGAGTAGAATAAGAAGTGATGAAAGACTTTCTCCCATCCATGCTGGCACATTGCCGGATAACCTATTGCCTCCAAGATCCAAGATCATTAATGCTGAACAAGTTCGCAGAACAGTGGGAATTTCCCCCTGAAGATCATTGTTGCTCAACAGCAGTGCATGGATGGATCTTAAGTTACCCATCGATTCTGGAATTTCCCCCGATATGTTATTGTTTGATGCATCTAGAGCCCACAACTTTTGCAAATTATTCCAGCAATCAGGAAGCTGCCCAGAAAATCTGTTACCTCTAAGGGAAAGAACTGATAAATTCATCATTTGGCAAATGGATGTTGGGATACTACCATTGAGGAGGTTCCCTGAAAGGTCTAGTTCTAATAAACTGGGCATTAGCTCACCAAGATTTTCAGGTATAGACCCCGAGAATAGATTATCCCGAAGATCTAACAAGTTGGCATTTGTGGACCAAACAGGAACTGGACCTTCAAACCGATTTGAACTCAGATCTATCAAAGTTAAATTAGGAGACACTAAGTGGTGTGGTAGCTCTCCCCTGATTTGATTCTCGGATAGATCCAAATAGGTAGCTTGAGAAGCCACCGTAGCAAACCATTCTGTTGGGATCATGTCAGAGATTCCTGTATTTTTAAGGACAACAAAAGTGAGCAAGTCTTGACTCTGAAGCCATGCTGCAAAAGCAGGGCCAACCATACAGTTCTCAATGTGAACAGATTTGAGCATGAAGGGTGGGAACCAATCATAGGTCACATTGAACACAAGGGACAAGGTTGAGTCTGTGTTCTCAAGTTTTATACTTTCCAATCTAGTGAGGTTTTTCAAATGAGTTTCTGTCAGAGTACCGCTCCATTTGTTTAGCTCCAGATTCAACTCGACTAACTCGAACAGTTGGCCGAGGCTTTCGGGGATTGTCCCGTTCATCTCATTCTCAGACAGGTCCAATGTTTTCAAGGATAACAGATTTCCAATAGATGTGGGGATGGAACCCCAAAAGAAATTGGCTGACAGATCAAGCTTTTGCAAATTCGTCAGTAGTCCCAATTCTTGAGGCAATTCCCCACCCATCTTGGTAAATCTTAGATCCAATGACACTAGTCTGTTTGTTGGGCAACCATTGAATGCACCCAAAAACTCATGAAGGGTTATGTTGAATTCATTACCTGAAAGATCCAAAATCTGTAAGTTGCAAAAACTCCCGGGAATAGGAGCAGTGAGCTCATTTAAGCTTAGATCAAGTATCTCAAGACTGGTAAGATTAGCCACCCAAGTTGGGAATGAAGTTCTGAAGAAATTGGTTGACATATTGAGGATGCGGAGAGAAGTGAAATTCACCAAAGCAAGATCAAGGTCGCTGTCTTCAATATCGCAGCCGGGTAAATGTAACTCCAACAGAGAAGGAAGCTTATTAATTGTCTGCAACCAATCTCTGGATGTGTTGTAAAGCATTACAGATCCCAAGTTAAGATAGTCCAGAGAGGAGAGACCTGATAGCCAGTGCAGGGACTTGGCTGTCAACTGCACATCAGAGTAAGCATTAAGATCTAAGTACTGCAAGCGTGTCAAATTTCCCAGTTGAGGTGGAATCTCTCCGGCAAACGAAGCCGAAGCAAGATTCAGATACCTCAAATTTTTGAGCATACCAAAGAAGGGAGGAATTGGGATGCCTCTGAAATAATTCAAGCTTAAGTCCAAGTAATTCAAGAACTCCAACTGAAGCAAAGAAGAACTTATGTTACCCCCCAAACAAGACTTTCCATCAAAATCTTCAATAAAGACTGTGTCTCTAGAGCGGAGTGGATTACTGAGGTTGATACTGGTGACATGAGCCGTCCGATTATCACATATAATGCCTGCCCAATTGCAACACTCTTCACCAACCCATGAAGAAAGTCTTTTTGAAGGATCAGTCAAACCTTGCTTGAAAGCTATAAGTGCTTCTCTTTCTGTCTCAATGCATTGGAGAGCATCAGCTGAACACAAGAAAAGCAAGCAGACTACCAAGGGAGAGATAAGTTTGAAGAGAAGATTCAGGCGCACCCCCATTTCTGAAATCAAGCAGATAAACTCTCATATGCACCATTGTCAACTCTTTCTAAGCTTTTCAGGATTTCTGAATTCTTCAGACAATTTTTGGATAATTTAGAATAAGTATATTTTACATTTTATTTCTAACTTAATCCTATAATTGCTAGTAAAACATCCGATAACTATTATCTTAAAGATCAAATTATACAAAAAGAAAAACAAAGCAAAGATTATGTATCTTGAAGATGGAAGGGATATTGATTTTTGCGGTCAACAAAAAGCTGTCGAAAAATAAATGATTGGTGTAAGAAGACAGGTAAGAGCCACAAAGGTCCTGCTCAATCGTCCTCTTAAGCCCCAAGTCAACAACTCATACAGTCTTGGTTTTTTGTTTTTTTGAGAAAGAAGTTCAAATTAGATTTTTAAAGAAAATTGTGATGCCATCAAATGCTTCCAAAACAAAGTGAAACGGTAACGCATATTGCATTGCATGAAAATTCCATGTTAGCATAGTTTTTAATATTAATGGTCAACAATTAATACTTCAAACCCCACATACACTTCTGACATGAACAATAACTATATATATATATATATATATATATTTGTGAAATATCTACAAATATATCCATCAAAATAGGTAATAAAAATATGGATGAGATGAGCCCAAGATGCCTGTATAAATTCTTTAGGTCTAATTTTTTGTTTTTTTTTTTGGAAATAATTATATACGACAAAAGTTGTATTACTTTGGTGACGAGGAAGTACCGAGTTTTCTTACATTTGTTAGGCACTAGAAATTAATTTAAGTGTGCAGAACTAATAAATTAAGTATAATATAATCGTTGTTCTTTTTTTAAAAAAAAAACTAATAATAAATCAAAAGAAAATAAATGTCATAATAAACATATTGCCCAAATTAGAAAAAAAAAAAACAAAATAAAAAGTTAAATCGTTGCCATTAATAGTATTGTATTCTACCGTACACAAATTATAATTTCAGTAGAGTTTTGCATTTAACAATTTTAGTTTTGATAGTCAATAAATATTCACTTTAATGTAATTTTAATTATGTATTAGACGGTGAAATCGTGACAGCG